TATTGGCTCCAGGGCGGATGGATCGATCCTAGGATTACCCACCATGTGACCGTGGTTAAATTCACGGGGGACTCGGGGTGTGTGCCCGCACGCCGGCCCGATACTTCGTGTGGTTTGGCCAACCCACGAACACTACAGGAATTGACGGATTGTGTTTAAATKATGTTTTGAAATGAGAACTGTGAAACGTCTTGATTTTCTATGAATTCGGTTTCATTGATTTTTTTTAAGTCTTCCGCTTTATTATCAATGTTACTATTATTATTTCAAGTTTATGTACAATCTGTTCACTGAGCCATGTGCTCAGYYGTGTTCTTGTTTCTTGACACGGCAGGTTCCAAGTGATTTTGATAAGGGACGGGACTTGACATCGAGCGTTTGATTTTTTTTTTTGGAGTTTGTAAACTCGTTGGTAGATGTGTAATATTCTAAGCTTATAAATAGTTGTTAGAATGTAATATTTTGGATTGTAAAGCATGTTTTAGAAGTTAATCTACGTTTGGAGTTTATTAGTAGCTCTGCAATGTTTGTGTTTTTGAATTAAGTCCCGTTAGTGACACTGCCCGTTCCGGACCACGGGGACGGGGGATGTTACAGTACCCGATATATATTAATTAATAAATTATATATATTTATACATATTATACATATATGTATATTATTTATTTCAACTAAAGCGGTAGTTCATAATTTCATATTTCCTAACTAGGTTTATAATCTAAAATTGTTATTTTTTGGATGTTAATATGTAATTTTGGATGTCAAGTCAAAATGCAATTAGTTGATAAGTTTTGTATATTACTCGATATGGTTTTATATTACCCAATATCTTTTGCTACATGTGACTTTAATTTTTTGGATTTAATTGAATTTTTTTTGTTTTAGGTTGTTAGTTCTTATATGATGTTGTGGTTTTTTTGTATTAAATTAAATTTATTTTGGTTTTAGGTTTATTTAAAATGTTTGAGATTTAAACATATATGATCTCGCACATATTTAATTTAAAATAACTTATATAAACGGAAAAAAATCCCCGTTTCCTCATTGGGGATCCCCATTCCCCGTTGGGGATGGGGATGTGATTATATTCCCCGACAGGGATGGGGACGTGGATGAGGAAGGTGATTGAGGTCTCGCCCCATCCCCGCCCTATTCCCATGCCTAATTTTAGGGTTTTTTTTCTTATAAACTTTAAAACTTAAAAGGTGTTTTCTTAGTTTTTATAAAACTAAAGGGATCAACTTCAAACTTCATCATCAAAAAGATAAAGTTAAAAATTTCATTCACGTCCCTCTCCTTTTATAACATCTTTTCTACCTTCCTTTACCATATCTTTTCCAATGTGGGACAATTTCACTAACTTTTTTTTTATTTCTTTGTCTTTTTTTTAATTGTGATTTTAATAAAAAGTAATTGATTAATTTTTATAATTAAAAAATACATAATTTTGTTTAAATATTTAAAAATATAAGACATTTTTATTATTTATATCATAAATTTTATCATAAAAACTGATTATATTTTAAAACTAATCATATATAAAACAATTGAGTATCTCACAAGCTTTTCGAGTCGAGTATTGGCTATCTTGACTTAACTCGTTTATGTCGAGTCAAGCTCGAGTTCGAGTCGAGCCTATTCGAGTCGATTATTGACTGAGCTTTGACCGAGTCGATCTCGAGTAGCTCGCGAGTCGTATCGTTTACACCCCTAGCTGGAATTAGATCTATAACTTATATTTCAGAATAGAAAAGATAAAAAATTTCTTTGTAAAAGTCC